ATTTCTCTGGAAGAACTAACCCCGGTGTGCATTTCCTCTAGCTGTAAATCAGCGACATCTTTCAGGAAAAAAACACATAATAACCGATGACGTTGGTGTCCCTCACGGTCTCACCCCCTTCCTTTCATAAATATTTCATTTCGGGGCGATAAAGCTTCATAATTGGAGTGGCATTCTGAAACCGTGTCTACATAAAGTGATAGAACTGTGCTTGAACCATTCTGTAGCTTCTCACGGAGCAGTTAGGCAAATAGGATTTATATCCTTGTACTCATTCCAACTCTAGTTAATCCCTGTTGGCTATGTGGAGCTTTGGGTGTTGAAGGGCTTTCTGAGGCTCTGACGGGGGTCACAGCAGGAAAGGTTCTGTAATTGATTAGTGATGTCTGCCGTGGGCACGGGAGTACAGAGTTAAAGCATGGGCGTTGTTATAGCCTGTACTAGCCACAAGGAGTGACTGAATGTAATGCTCTGCAGCTAAAAGTGTCCATTTGGAGTGAAAAGTATAAAAGTGCATGCACACTCACCTCTCATTGCTAATAAGGTTGCAATAAACATGGACCAAACCACATTCTATAGTTCTAGATCATCATAATGGAGAGCAGTCCCTTAAGGGGGAGGGGGATATTTCTCAAGAAGCTGTTAAGATATTGAGCTCACAGGTGGTGCACACACTAGACTCTTCAATTATGTTTCCAGAATATCTCCTGAGGTGCTCGGAATCTGCTAAGGCTTCCTCCTGGCGGTGTAGCTCACGACCTAACTGTAAGAATCTGGGTCCTAGGGAGCTGCTGGACATTCAGCTGGTGGGGACTTCATTTCTGAAGTCCTCTCAGAGAGGTATTTTTTTCCTCCCAACCTCTGATGTCTTAATTAGCTCCAGCGGCCATGACAAAATATCAACAATTGGATGTATTAAAGAATAGTCCATTTCTCACGGTTTTAGAAACTGAAAATGCAAGAGATGTCTCGGCGGCTCAGTCAGTTAAGCATCCGACTTTCGATTTTGGCTCAGGACATGATCTCAGGGTCCTGGGATCGAGCCCCACATCCGGCTCTGTGCTGAGCGTGGAGCCTGCTTGAGATGCTCTCTCTCCCTTTGTCCTTCCCCCCTACTCCCCCTGCACACATGCTCTCTCTCTCTCTACATAAATAAATAAAATCTTTAAAAAAACAAAAGGAGAAAATGAAAATATGAGATCAAGGTGCCAGCAGGGTTGGTGTCTGGTGAGAGATCACTCTTGAGAGAGAGAGAGAGAGAGCACGAGTGGGGGGGAGGGGCAGAGGTAGAGAGCGAATCTCAAGCAGACTCCACACTCAGTGTGGAGCCCAACGTGGGGCTCAATCTCATGCCCCTGAGATCATGACCTGAGCCGAAATCAAGAGTCAAATGCTTAAACAACTGAGCCACCCGGGCACCCCTCTTCCTCTTCTTATAAGTGAATTAACTCCATTGGCCCGGGGCAGGGGGGAGTGGGGAGGCTCACCCTCACGACCTCATCTAAACCTGATTACCTCCCAAAGACCCCACCTCCAAATACCATCACGTTGGGGCTTAAACTTCAATGTATGAATTTTGGAGGGACACCAACTGTCAGTAGATAACACCTGGTTTGTGGTAGAAGGAAGGTATTCTATGAGTCCCCAAGTAGGGCTCCAGATGGCAGGTCAGAAAATGCAATTTATTTGTTCATATTTTGACTAGCACCTAGCAGGGCTCATTCAATATTCATTGAAAGACGGAGAGACGGAATGAATGACAAAATATGAATAGATGAAAGCAGAGATGAATTGATCCTAGGCCAGGCTAGCCGTAGCAGTAATAGGAGGTCATTCCTGCCCTCACATGTCTGGCTGATCAGATATAGGCTGAGAAGAGTCCGGAGGACATAAATGCTTGTGCGCCCATCCACTTCTAAAATGCCACAATTCTAGAGTTCTAATTAGGCATGACCTGGCCTGCTTCTTTCAACCCCAGCCCCCAGTCCTCACCTGCCACGTGTGAGGTTATTCAGAGGAGGCCAAAACCACTTCTTCCAACGTAAGACTCCAGTCATGTTGATCAACTATGAGGTCAGCGGTCATCAGTTAAAATGCTTCTAGCTGCAGACAGACAATCCAGTGAAAAAGAGCTTAGTTAAAGTAGGGATATATTGGCTCACACAACATAAAAGTGCAGGTGTAGGCAGGCTTCAGATGAAGCTAGATTCAAGATTCAAATGGTGCCAATAAGGCTGTTTCTTTCCATCTCTTGGCTCGGTCCAGTATCCTGCTGGCTCCTTTCTCTGGCTTCCTGTGGGGACCTCAGCAGCTCTGGGTTCTCCCTTCCCAAGGCAAGATAGTTGTCATGATGCCATGTTTGCCTCCTCCCAGAAGGAAGAGTGATCATCTTCCTCAGTCCTGCCCACACAAGTCCTGTGGTTCATCTGACCGGATGGGCTTCCTCCACTGGCTTACTTTCTCTAAGTCTGCAGAATAAGCAGTTAAGATGTGCCGTTAGGCTTAAATCTGGGTCATGTGCAATCCTGTACAGACCCCATGTAATGAGCGTAGTGGAGGGTAAGTCTCTGAATAAAGATTTGAGACCCTGGCTCAAAAAAAAAGGGGGAAAGAATGTTGGGAGAATTAACACATCAGATGACAAGTTCCCCAATTGCTCAAAAAGCTGGAGTCATGGCTGCAGCTCCATAAAATTAACTAAACTATGTATGAAGTATTCCACATGGGTGCCAAAAGTCATCCTAACTAGTACAGGTGTGAAGAATGAAGAATGAAGTATGAACCAATAAATTGATTTGCCAGTCAGCAAAAATAACAACATGCATTGCACTCTGATTTTCCACTATTAGAACTATCTCTCATTGGAATGGATGGCCTTAGGAGATAGTTTCTAACTTATCACTGGATGTCCTAAAGCAAAAGCCATATGGTCACGTACAGGGATGCCACTGAGGGAACTTGGGGCTCATAGACTCATTCACTCATTCAACACATATTTCCTGAATGCTGATGGTGTGATCTCAGATCTCTTGAAGCAGAGGCTGAGGCAAACGTTGACAGGCTTTTTTTAGGGGGAGAGGGCAGGATTGTGCAGATTTAATAATGGCCCAGCAAAGCGCCGGTCATAGGGAGAATGGGTCTTTGGAGAAAATATGGCCCATCCGAGTTCCTGCATTGGGCTAAAATAGCTAGGCCTTTGTATTTGCAATTTGATTAGTCATTGGATGTGGGCCACTTGGGAGAAGGAAGCCTGTGTTCCTTGGAGGAGAAGGCTGTGTCCCTAGCGGAGCTGACAGCTGGAGATGTGTCCTTCTGTGCCCACCACAGCCTACTGTGTGCCAAGCGCTGTTCCAGACACTGAGAATACAGCAGTCAACAAAATAGCAGCAACGTTCAAGCAAGAGTGGGTATTCTAGTGGCAGGTGAGAGGCGAGCTTTTATTTTATTTTTCAAATTTTTTATAAGTTTTCTTTATTTAACTAATCGCTATACCTAACGTGGGGCTTGAACTCACCACCTCAAGATCAAGAGTCGCACGCTCTTCTGACTGAGCCAGCCAGGCACCCTGAGAACTTTTAAAAAATAGCTAAATGAATGTGTAACAATTAGTGACAATATGCCATGATGATGCATCATGGGAGGGAGAAGGTGGTCACAGTGGAAGAAGAAATGGCAGGTAGTGATGTGGTGGTTGTAGTGTTTTCATCAGGAGGGCCAGGGGAATTTCTCTAAGTGATGCTTGAGCAGAAACGTAGGGAGGTTGGAGAAAAAAAATCCTGCATACATCGGGGCCTGAAGGGGCTCCAGGCAGTGAGCAAGTGGAAAGGCTTTGAGGAAGAGCAAGGACACCATTGCAGTTGGAGGGAGGGAGTAAGGACAGAAGAAGACAGGAGCTTCAAAGAATAGCAGGGGACCAGACCATGCAGGGCCATGAGGGCATGCTTATAATTGGGGGCCACGGTAAAGACTCACAATGGGAAGATACAACGGAGGTGGCTTGTTAGAAACATTCCCTCCACTTAGCTCCCACTTTATAGAGGAGAAAACCAAATTCCATGGAAGCGGTAGGATTTGCTCAAAGTTGCATAACTAGCTAGAAACTCTAGAGAAAGTCAGAATGGAGATGAAGAATATGTGATATATCCATTAGGATGTGTTGGGCTGCATGTCAGAGAAACTCTGGATTCGAAGAGGCTTCAATAAAAGGGAATTTAATTATTTCACATTACTGGAAGACCAGAGTTGTGAGAACCCCAGGCATAGATCCAAGAGTGGCTCAATAATGTTTCTTCCATCCTTCCATCCGTCATCTTCAGTGTATAAATCAGGATGGGCTAGGATATGCTGCAGTAACAGACCCAATTCCAGTGGCTTTAAGGGGAAAAAAGTGTATTTTTACTCCATGTCCATGGCCGGGCACCATTTTCATTAACTAGGGGGCCATCCCTACTGTCATCATTTATAGGCTGATAAAGCCACTCCCACATAGAACATTGCTGATCACATGCCAGAAGAAAATGGGAACTCTAGAGTGTCTTGAAGTGGTGATTAAATGCTCTGGTTCAGAAATAACATACATCATTCCTGCCGACCATTTGTCGACCCTCCTACTCACAAATGGGCCAGGAATTGCCATTCTACTGTATGCCTAGAAGGCAGAGAGAGGCAGTAAGCAGCACTAATGACGATGGAAGTTAATACCAGCTTCGACTAAGGACGGGTTCCCCCACCCCCTGACCCCGACACCTCCCTGTGAGGTCAGAACATTCACAGAAACAACTCTTTAAAAAGTAGAGGCATGACCACTAATTTTCAGAACAAGGAAAATTTCCCCAGACTCTCCCAACACTTCCCTCACTTTGTATTGGCTGGAAATGGATCATGTGCTCATTCTTAACCAATCACTGGACTCAGGGGAATGGGACTCTGACGGTCGCCTTAGCCCAATTAGGATTTACCCTCCAAGAGCCAGAGAGATTGGGTCATGTTCTCTCGAGCCTATGGACTGGCTGTCTGAAGTTGGTAGAGGTGTTGAAAAAGGTAACTCTTCTCTAAGCACTTTTCAATAAGTTCAATCCACAAAGGAAGGATAGTTTCATCCTGTCAACAATTCAGGTATTGAAACCAGAAGGAGAAAGGAGAAAAATAGATGTTGGTAGACAAATGGGTATTGGTTGGTTGCCAACCAACCTGGTCAACGACAAAGGGCAAACCAGGAGGGCTAGAAGTGTCAATAAGAAATAGAATGTGGTATGACCTCACTGATATGAGGAATTCTTAATCTCAGGAAACAAACTGAGGGTTGCTGGAGTGGTGGGGGGTGGGAGGGATGGGGTCGCTGGGTGATAGGCATTGGGGAGGGTATGTGCTATGGTGAGCGCTGTGAATTGTGCAAGACTGTTGAATCACAGATCTGTACCTCTGAAACAAATAATGCAACATATGTTAAGAAAAAAGAAAAAGAAGAAGATAGCAGGAGGGGAAGAATGAAGGGGAGTAAGTCGGAGGGGGAGACGAACCATGAGAGACGATGGACTCTGAAAAACAAACTGGGGGTTCTGGAGGGGAAGGGAGTGGGGGGAGGGGCTAGCCTGGTGATGGGTATTAAAGAGGGCACGTTCTGCGTGGGGCACTGGGTGTTATGCACAAACAATGAATCATGGAACACTACATCAAGAACTAATGATGTAATGTATGGTGATTAACATAACAATAAAAAAGAAAAACAAAGAAATAGAATGCAGGGGGGGGAAGAAATAGAATGTGGGGATGCCTGGCTGGCTCAGTCAGATGAGCATGTGATTCTTGATCTCCCTGTGGTGAGTTCAAGCCCCATGTTGGGTGCAGAGATTACTAAAAAATAAATAAATAAAACTTAAAAAAATAAATATATAATGCACTATAGTAAGGGTTGGAATCAATAACCTTGAAGATCCTGTCCAGCTCTGAGATACCATTATTTTCTGTGGGTTTACTGATGTTACCCTCTGTGAGTACAAGGGTTCAGAACACATTTGTCAGGGGGACCATCTGAGAATCCAAAGCAATTTTCCCTACTCAGTACCACTGATCAAGTCTTGTTAAGAGTCCCACATGAGGAAGACATGTTTCTACCCCTTGCTAGGAAGCTCTCAGATACGGGATCAGCAATTCTGGACTAAGGAAGGGGCGGTGAAAGCTCAGAGGAGAGAAGGCAGGAAATGACTTAGAAATGCACAGAGTTGGGTGCCTGGGTGGCTCACTGGGTTAAGCGTCTGACTCTTGATTTCAGCTAGGGTCATGATCTCAGGGTTGAGCTTGAGATTCTCTCTCTCCCTCTCCCACTGCCCCTCCCCCTGTTCACATGCATGCGCTCTCTCCACTCTGGGCTCTTAAAGGCATTTCAGCATGCCCATTGCTAATGCCGTCTTGAACCAGCTCTTTTGACCATGCTAATCATTCTCCACTATGGGCACCGACTCCCAATACTCGACTTCGGCCCTTCGTCAACTTTTACCTGGATCATCAGAAGAGCTTCCAAATTGCTCTTCTCCCATGCAGTGTTGCTTACTCCAGTTGACTTAGAGAGCCAGAGAATGTGTAAATCTGACAGTGGCTTCCCCTTGAGTAAAACCCACCAATAGCTCTCCGTCAACTGCAGAATCAATTCAAGTTCTTTGGCAGGAGATATAATGCCCTCCTGCCAGCTTTATTTGGAAGACTCCCTCGGAGTTTCTGCTCAACTGCTGCACCTCTTGCTCACCCCCAATCACCACTTCGCACCTTTCTGGTTTTGCTGATGATGTTCCCTCTGCTGCCAGTGTCCTTCCCCTCTGTTTGCTGTATTAATTCTTAATTATTCATTCAAGAATCTGCTCATTAACTCGTGGAGAAAGCTGCCTTTGACCCCGACCTTGCCCCTCCAGGGCTAGGCTAGGAGCCTGACATCTGTGCTCGCAGAGCATTGTGTGCCCACCTTTATATGGGACTTGACCATGGACATGGTAAACAATTGTTCAGCTGTCTCCAGAGGGCTCTGCAAGTTTCCCTCCATGAGGAAGGGGATTGGCTTACTCATCTTTTATCCCAGCACTTATCAGTGCCTGGTGGACAGTACGTGCTACACAGGTGTTTATTGAACAGAAGCACTAAGAAGAGAGTGGCAGGTGAGATGCAGTCGAGAGAATGCAAGGAAGCGCAGAGGAAGAGGGAGGGAAGGCATCCCAGGATCTGCCTCTGGTGTCTTGGAATCTGGGCTCCAGCTCCAATTTATCCATGATGGAATTCCAAGCAGAGGCTCTCTGCCTTTCTGGCATGGGGGATCCTCAGTTTGGATCAGGCACAAGTGGGACTTAATGGACAACCTTCCCACAATCTCTCCTGCCCACACTCTGACAACTGCCCCTGCCTTCAACCTGAACACGCTGGCACTGGCACAAAAGGCCAGGACACGCAGGCAGAATTTTGGCAGTGGCCCCTGCTTCTTGCTCTCATTTCCCCCATCTCCTCCATGGACGCATGCCAAAGATGATGATTAGGACTCCCTCTTGGGGTGGCCTCAAGGCTTAGGAGTGAGACCTGGGAGGACTCCATTCCACAGATCCGATGAGCAAGCACACAGGAACACCTCCCTCTCTGCACTCCCCCCCCCACCCCATCACCTACAGCAGAGGGATTTCAAAGCTGAGTCTTAGAGGCTCAGGCAGCTTGTCTAACTCTGCCCCAATGCTCTGGAAAAAGCCCCGGGAAGAGGCAATAAAAGGTGCCACCCAGCGCTGGGGTTGCCTCGCGCCTGTGTCCGTGTTGTTGGCGGGGTGGAGAGGAGCGTGCCCAAGGGGAAGAGAGTGCAGGCCCAGCTCACTGGCAGCCCTATAACCGCAGACAAGCCGCTTGACCCCCTGGTCTCAGTTTAGGAACCTGTAGCAATGGGTTTGGCCTCCTCCCTCCGCTTCGAGCGTCGCCACTAGGGAGAGGCAAAGGCTTGCAGATCCCCCAAGTCCCGGCTCAGGCAGCGCACCGTCCGGGGCTTGGGTAAGGTGGGACCCTCGCCGAGGGCCGGACGGGGCAAAGGCAGCGGAGGTCTGGCCCAGCCGCCGGCCGGCTCCAGAGGGGACACTCCCGCCCCGCTCCCGGGCCCCTCTCCGCCGCCGGTTTCGCCGTTTCCAAGAAGCGGAGTCTTCGGCTCTGGTGACGCGGAGCTTCAAGTGCCGCCGCGAGGGGGGGAGCAGTGAAGAGGAGCCCCCCTCCCCCGGGCGCCCGGGCGTGTAAACGTGGGCGGCGGTGAGCGGCTGCCCTCCCCTCCCCTCCCCTCGCCGCCTCCCCTCCCCGCGCGGCGCTACCGCGTGTGCGGGTGTGTGAGTGCGTGTGTCTCCCTCGCTCCCTCCCGCACGCGCTCCGGCACTAGTGCAGGCGGCCGGCCGGCGGCTCCCGGCTCGCTCGCTCCGGCCGCTGCGCTCCCCGCCCCTCGCCGCCGCCGCCGCCGCCGCCGCCTCTGCAGTCGCAGCCGGGCATGGTGAGTGAGTGAGGGCCGGCCGCCGCGCGCCCCCCGCCGCAGCCCGCTCCGTCCCGGGGACTAAGCCCGCGGCGGGAGCGCGCTGCGGGGCCGGCAGCCCGTGCGCCCTCGGTGGTCGGCGCGCAGCACCGCCGGCCCCCGTCTCGCCGCGGGCTCCGAGCCCCGCTCCTCGAGGGCTGCGCGCTCCCTCCCTTCCCGCCCCCCGCCCCGCCCCGCCCCGCCCCGTGACCGGCTCCCCGTCTTGTCCCGCAGGACCCGCCGGGACGGGACCACGCCGCCGCCGCCCGGAGCCGCGCTTCGGGTCCCGCCTGAGCCGCGCCGCCGCCGGCGGGGGATGGGGCTGCCCGGGAGGCGCGCCGAGCCCGCAGGGGGAGCAGGGAGCCGGCGCGCAGCGTGAGCGCCCGAGCAGCCCGCGCCGGTCCGGTCCGTGCGCACCGCG